TGAGGTCAAGGTCAAAGGAAAGGTCAGGGTTAAAAAAAGTTGATGCAGCTACATAGCTCTCATCTATATCTATCAGCATATGAAGTTTGATGAAAATATCTTAGATAGTTTCAAAGAAACTTAGCTTTGAACAGAGCTAAAATTAAAGTGTGACAAAAATTGCGGAAGGACTTCTTTAAGGCGGACATGACAAACACTATATGCCCCGGCCATATTCATGGCGGGGCATAAAAACAGTTATCCCAAGGAAATACAAAACATATATTGAATAATGATTACAGAGGGTAATGAATCAAATATTATTACATGTCTATATGGGTGTATTTTTTTAATTATAGGGTAATGAATCAAATACAATTACATGTGTATACTGTATACAAGGAAATTTTCACCCCCGTTTTATTTTCGTCCCTTTCTATCCTTGATTGGGCGAATTTAAAATGGGGCAAATTCAAATTAAACCTCATAGTTTCTTAAACAGAACTATGACTGGGCGAATTTAAAACAGGGCAAAATTGTTCACAAATTCAAAAGGGCGAAAATTACACGGGGCAAAAATAACCCTGTATACAGCATGAAATATAAACAAATCGATTCATATTACTTCTATTCTAATTCTTTTGATATAGCCGCCTGTCCAGTTAAAGCATCTCTTCTTGATTCGGGAAGTAAGGAGTTAATCCTTATCTCACGGGTTCGAATCCCAGTGTGGGACTTAAAGGGACATGGACACAGATTCAACTGAATTTTTAAAGCCAATTTCAATGCTTACAAATCCTAAATAATGCTTCATCTAATGAACAGCAAAAATTTGAACATCATTTATTGATTAACATAAACAAACGAGATACAGAATTTAAGTTCTACAGAATGTAAACAAGGTTCGTGCCTTGTTTTTGCTTACATGTAGAAAATATATTTATAACAAAATGGAATTCAGAAAATCACTAGAAACTTTATAATAGTAATTAGAATTAACTTCTTTATTGAACTTATTTGCTCTAAAGGAACACACATTTGTATATTAATCTATGTAAACAAAACATGACACGAACTCTGTTTACATAACCAAGGTTTGGAGCTCTAAATCTGTCTTGTATCTCAACAACTGAAGTTCAAATTTTTTATGATCATGAGAAAGACCCTAGTTAAATACTTTTTTTTAGCTGAACTGTGTCTATGTCTATGTCCCTAAAGCGCTGCATTTCATTTCCGGAAATATGCATAGCATTTCCGACATTTTTTTATTTCATTTCCGACATTTTATGTTTTCATTTCCGACATAATTTTCTTTTCATTTCCGGAATTTACCTGTGCGGCAATTCAATGTTTTCTAAGTAAAAGAAAACGGAATTTAAAAAGTATTTACATGTATACCAAAATATTAATTTAAAAAAATTGAAATAAAAAACATCTATACATAAATGCATACAAGTAGCACTAATTATAAGTCTTAGTAGGTAAAAGTGTTCAATGAGCATAAAACTTTTTCACTACATTCAATGTCCACTAAATTAAATGTCAGTGACAGCCCCATACAAGTTTATGTCCAAATCACTGATAGATTTACAAAATATTGGATTTCAAAGACTCATTTATGATTTAATCCTTTAAATTTTTCATTATTAAAGTTATCAAATCTGTTAATATAGATATATATACTACATATGTATATTGAAAAATGTCGGAAATGATCACAAATTAAATGTCAGTGACAAAAAAAGTCACTGTAGATTTACAAAATATTGGATTTCAATTTATGATTTAATCCTTAAAATTTTTCAAAAAAATATAGGTACTACATATGTATTTGAAAAATGTCGGAAATGAAAAGTTGATAATTACCAAAAATTCCGGAAATGAAATGCAGCCCTTTAAAAACTGGTCATACAGATGAGATCAGTCCTTGAGATGAGACCGTATTTAAACCGAAGCCCCGTGTTATAGTAGGCGCTAGAACGAAAAACATCCCTCACTGCTCAATATGCCTACATATACATTTATAGACATACATAAATAAATGCAATAACTAAATATGTCAAAATTTGTCTAGTTTATAATTAATAAATATATGATGACCTGTGATTGAAGAATAATTGATGGATATGTATTGACAGCTACAGTAAACTGGCATTGTTATTCCCGTTAGTCCCAAAAAAAGTAGAAACAAGATGTGTTTGTGAAACACTATGCACCCGGCGTCAACAAAGTTCAAAAAAGCTATTTTTAGTATATAGGTCACAGTCAAGGTCAGAAGGTCATTGACATTGGAGTTGTTTGTAAGAACTTAATTAGTGGGGTAGGCATACTAAATATGAAGTCCCTATCTCCTATGATTCAAAAGTTATGACAAAAAGTGGAAAAAGCTATTTTTAGCATATAGGTCAGAGTCAAGGTCACATGGTCATTGACCTTGATGTTGTTTGAAAGAACTTTATTAGTGGAGTATGCATACTAAATATGAAGTCCGTATCTCCTATGGTTCAAAAGTTATGGCAAAAAGTGGAAAAAGCTATTTTTAGCATATACCGTAGGTCACAGTCAAGGTCACAAAGTCATTGACCTTGCTGTCATTTGAAGGAACTTTATTAGTGGAGTATGCATACTAAATATGAAGTTTCTATCTCTTATGGTTCAAAAGTTATGACAAACAGTTGAAAAAAGCTATTTTTAGCATATAGGTCACAGTCAAGGTCAAAGGTCATTGACCTTGATGTCGTTTGAAAGAACTTTATTAGTGGAGTATGCATACCAAATATGAAGTTTCTATCTCTTATGGTTCAAAAGTTATGACAAACAGTTGAAAAAGCTATTTTTAGCATATAGGTCACAGTCAAGGTCACAAGGTCATTGACCTTGATGTCATTTGAAAGAACTTTATAAGGGGATTATGCATATCAAATATGAAGTCTCTATCTCTTACGGTTTAAAAGTTTTGGCGAAGGTTAAAGTTGACAATAGACAGACAGACAAACAGACAAACAGACAGGACAAAAACAATATGCGCCCCGAAAAAATTTGGGCGCAAAAAAATATTCAGTATATTGATTTGATTGTTGATTCACATACAGATGGATCAACAAAGTAACCCTGTCCTTATTCGCCGTCATTAAAGTGAGCATGTCAGCATTTTAAGCCCCGGGGTTCTAAGAAGAGGGCCAAACAGGCATGTAATTATATGCGTGTATATTTGTACCATCGTAAAACATTCTGTCAATTAATTGGAGCATGTTGGATTAAAAGTACACAATACATAAGTAAAATAAAGTAAACATATTGTCACAAGCAACAAAGTAGGATCATAAATCTGTGTACTAATAAGAATATAACATATGAATATATTCAAATAAACAAATAACATTTTGTAATACTTTGATCCCACTGGATATTAAGTTCACAATACAAAAGCAAAATGAAATGAACATATCAACACGCAACAAAGGTCGATCGCAAATCTGTGTTTTAAAAATATGCAATCGTGAAAGAACATATTCCCTTCTTGTCCGAAACTTCCATACAAATTTGAACTTTGCAGCTACTCTATAATAGGTACAAGCAGCATAGGATTCACATTCACTTAAAATGAACTCTCCAGCACTCTCCATTCTTATTAAGATTAAGTGAAACATGCAATTCTTTAATATTCTACACAATAACCTACAAGCTCCTAATCTGTAGCTCCTTTATTACGGTTGATTACTGTTTCTACTTCTTGGACATTTCATTTGATTGTCTCTAAACCTGTTTGGATTTTAACAATTCTATAACATTATACTTTCATGTAAATTAATTGATTTTGATTAAATGCTATATACATTTGTTAAAAGCACTATTATCCGATTAACGATGAATCCATTATCACCAGCGAAGCAACAGTAACATTGCTTGACTACGGGTGACATTCCATAAATATATCAACTGAACGGAATTCATATGCACAAGGCGATCTGTCATTGAATTGTATCTGAGAGTTGGACGCCGAGCTCATGTTTCGTTAAAAATGTTAGATAGATCTGTCCTTTATTTTGGTAAGCCTTCTTTCCATATTTTCTGGGTATATTTGCATAGCTTCCTTTCAATTTCTTTAATTTCTAGTAATAGCTGGATAAAAAGCACATACAATTTAAGGTTTTCACATATGTTCAATGTTTTGAGCACCATAATTATTGTAATCCCAGTGGAATGCTTTTTGGTAAGTCCGTCCTTATTCATCATTATCAAACAGTTCCCCATCCAGAACATATATAATCATCAATTTTATATATATGGGAGCCATTTAAAAGCGTCATTTAAAGTCAGAGGGGAAGTAAATCCTGTTTAATCCTAAAAATACCTCAGTAAACGATTCTAAAGGCTGTCTATAGGTGCGAAACTATTGAAACTCTATCAACAGAAAGGTTATCCTAAAGGAATACAAAACATATATTAAGTTATGAACCAAATATCATAAGCATTTTCGTAGTGACTACTAGTCTCTTCCTAAAATTTTGATTTTTCAGGGATAAAAATCATGATTTCTATATTGCTTCACACTTGATAAAAACTGATTTTCAATTTTGTAAAAGTTAAAGTCACTCTGCATATGTTCGATGCATAAAAAATTGACTTTGGGCAGCACTGCCTGTCAGCATCAATTTTGATTAAAATTTTTCACATCTAACTTATCTGACATTAATTTTTGCATACTGGACATGAATTTCTCCAACATATCATGTTGTTCGAATTTTTCTATGATTGCTGAAATAGCATCTACATCTAAAGCCATTATAAATGGTATTAATGTTATCCAAGTCCTTTTTTACAGTGAATCTTTGGCAGATATCCGACATTGTCGACAGAGTGTTATTGGATTCTGTCCGAGAGCAGTCAATCTATTTCGGATTGACCTAATTCTCTGGATGTCATCACCTACTGTCACCTCTCATGCTGCTGGCTCTTTTCCCCACTTTTCTTTTGTTGCAATTGGTTAACGGATCTTTGAACTAAAGTTTCTTTTCAACTTGTGTGTTAATGAAATATCAAATTCCTCATATATCCACATATTTCATATCCAGTTTGTAATTATAATTAAGCTTATCCAAAGACTTTAACCAATGACTCTTTCAATATCTTCAACCATGTGTTAAAGAATTCTTTGTTTACTAGTACTGAAAACATTCTATGAGTAAAAATTATTATTTCTGAATGGTTTAATTCTTCAAATTCGTTTTAATGTCCTCATTTGAGATTTTAATTCTTGAACATCTGACACGACTGTCTTCATCAATTCATGTTGATCCTTGACAAACTTTTCTATAATAGCTTTAACTGCATCTTCACCTCCTTCTTTTAAAGTCAGTTTATAAATGCTATTAAGGTTGTCCAAGTATTTCTTCCCAGTGAAGGTTTCCAATCTTTGGCAAATATCCGACATCATCGTCCAAGTGTTAGTGAATTCTGTCTGAGAGGTGGAGGCTGAGCTCACGTGTGCAGTCAAATAATTTTGTATTTACCTAATTCTCTATATATCGTCACCCACTGTCACCTCTCCTGCTGCTGGCTCTTCTCCCCACTTTCCTTTTGTTGGCCTAGGGATCTTTGAACAAATGTTTCGGATTAATGTGTATGTTAAAGAAATGTCAAAGTTCTTATATCCCAAATGCTTAGCATCTAGCAAGAGTTGTTCTTGCTCTGGGCGCAATCTTTTGTAAACCGCTGATGTTTTAGCTTTCTTTTCAATATCGGATGGAGGCACTTCCATCTCTAGTATATCTCTGTATGCCTGATTTAACACATCGTTGGTTGCCATTCCAAGTTTTGCGAATCTCGATCGTCCCTCAAGGTCATGTCCACCAGAGGCCACTGGAGTTTTAGAGACACTTATTTTTGTCTGAAATAAAATTTACCTTTCTTGTACATATTAGATACGTAAATTAAGCAGATACATACAGAAGTATAAATATCAAAATTTTCACAGATTTTATTAAAACAAATTAAGTTAATAATATTTTTTTTTCAGTAAGTTTAATTTAAGATTGTACGTCAAGATGCTATTTGTGAGATTAAAGGGATTTTATAAATATAACATTTTTTATCACATCATGCAATTTTAAAGTGAATTGGATCTCATTAGTTCTAGGTCATTTAAATAAATAAAAGAAAACCAAATATAATATCCATCACTTATCTTTTGTTTGGAGAAAATTGTAGAAACATGATGACAGATAAACAAAATGACTCTACAAACCTTTTATTTAACTTAAGGATAAATTTAGTTAATAAACATTATTTACCTTTTCCCAAAAACTCATAGTCGTCTGTACATTAATCATATGCTTCTCCTTAAGTTGACACTTGCACTGCGTTTCTTCAGCTTGGACTTTGGACAGCTCACTTGCAAGGGTGAAAGATAGATCTCTCTCATCACAAATAATATTTTGACATTTGTATCCTCTGTGGAATATTTTTGTGTCAATAAATGTCTCTGTCAATTTTTCTATAGATTTTTCAATGGAGTCTCCAATTTCATTTGATACTTCTTTGTCTACAGTCAATGGTTTGATTCTGAACACTTGCAATTGAATATCGTCATTACATATGCCAACTACAACAGTGTGTTCATTGTGATCAAACACTGCCGCTGTTTGATAAAGACATGGACTTCCTTCATTGTCTTCATCTTTTGCAACACTCCATCTTAGAAAACTTATGCAGTATGCTACCAGTCTGTAGAACACAAACATGGCAAAGGAACTGAATCGATAGCACAGAATGGATGAGTATTCCCATTTATTTTCATGGAAGTCGGCTTTAAACTGCTTTTTGTTCATACACGGGACATACCATGACATGCCACCTTCTGATACAGCCTCAAATGAATTCAAATGTACCAGCATTTGAAGCTTCTCCATATACGGCATAATTTCACTTTTATGTTTCAAGTAAGAGGGTTCATCTTCCCACAAAGCATCTATCACTTGATCTTTCAGTTCCCCCCCCCCCCCGTTTTGTTAAAGGATTTCCACTCTCTGATTAATTTTCTTTTACAATCTTTAGTGATGTGGTTTTCATCAGCAATTATCTTACTGAAAGCATTAGCAAACCACTGAATATCTAGTATGACATGTTCCCTCAATTCCACTTCTTCAAAATTCAGAAGAAGGCCACTGTCATGGAAACATTTTAAATATTTTGTCATTTCTTCATCACTTTTGATTTGGTATTCATTGGGAAGAGATGAGTTGAGCTTCCAGATTTCACTCGGGGACAAAACCTTCCAGCCTCCGTCATACAATAACTGCTCCATTAGAGCCCACGAAGAAGGCAATTCAACCTTTGTTTTGTTCTCATCTGTGAATAGTTCCACTATGGACCTTTTCATTGACTCTAGTATTTCCTTGGTATTATCATTAAGTGTCTTCAGACCTACTGCATATTCCTGATCATTCAGAGACTC